ACAGGTTCAGCAACAACAGATACCAATAGATGATCCAGTATTCCACTTTGTTCAGATTCTGGCAATTGTTCCAGCAGCCCTGCATATGCTTCCTTACCTGATAGATGTCATCTTGCACGTCTTAGGGAATTCTTTCTTCTGTACCATCTACATAGTAGGTTGGAGAGACTCTACAAGGTTGTCAATTGCATCATTCCACCTCTTGGTGCAGCATCAAAAGCCTAATTTGATTATTGTCAATGCTGCCCAGTCATGAGCTCTGTGTCGGCTGCATTCTTTATCTGCAGACAAAGAAAGCAAAAAGCTGGATTCGATGTGTAGAAAGTTTTACTCATCAGCTGTCCTTATCCCAAAGATTTCAAACTATCTTACATGCACAGGAGTATATCACCAGCTCCTTTAGGAAAAGAGGACTCCATTTCTGAATAAACTAAAAGATGAAGACCACAGAGTGGCATGGCTTCTGCAATCAGAAGTTCACAAACATCAGATCATGACATCATGGCATGTAGCTGATAGTGGTAGCAGCAATCGCCAGTACAGTGGCCTTTGGCTGACTTGCGTGACTTTGCTCCTGAGGACTTGGAACAGGCTTGTTAGGTAATTGAAGATTTACTTTTTGATGATGCTGGTCTCTTTAATTGCAAACCTGACCCTAAGTTGGAACACACTGAAAAGATTTGTTCCGCAGTAATAAAGTATGGTTTTAATCTGCTTGCCCAATCCAGCTCTAGCTATAAATCTACATGGTATAAATAACAACCAGATTTGAAGAAGTCCTACAGCCTGTTTAGAGCATGATACACTTGCAGCTTTCCTTAAATGCTGTTTGCTCTCCAGAAACCCCCAATTTCTGGCTAGAGGTTCAAGTCTGGGTATGTTAACAAGCGATCAGGTGATGGATCCAAGCATTGACTTTGTTGGCTGACATGTCTATCACTACTTCTCCATCACTGCTACCATCCCCTCCTCCAGAGGCAGAAGAACTTGCTACCACTGTGTCATTAATGCCTACACCTTCATTCCACAACTGGGTTACACACCATCACCAGACCTGGGCTGCTATCATCATGGATGCTCAACATAATTGAAAGAGGCCATGCCATTGAATTGAAGGAATATCCTCCCACAGGGATCCTTTGTACTCCTCTTCACCATGCTTCTTCAAGAGGTTGTTCATATCACTTCAGGATGGTAACACTCAACTCCATCCTTCCCCTAATGCAAGGGTAGGCAATCTTTCCCCTTTAAGGGCCGAGGGACTTCAGCTCCCAGAATCCCAGGAGCTATTGGCCAACATGGGACTATTGGCCAACATGGCTGAGGCTTCTGGGAGCTGAAATCCCTCGGCCCTTAAAGGGGAAAGGTTGCCTACCCCTGCCCTAATGCAAGAGAGTGACTGGTATGCTACTCTGGACATGAAAGGTACAGGTTTCAATTCTTGCCCTTTGGCCTCAGCACATTTCCCCATGTCTTTATGATTCTAGGATTTGTAGTTTGTTGCACTAAAGCACTAAATATCTCTCAAAACTACAAATCCCAGCATTCCATATCATTGAGCTATAACAGTTAAAGTGGTCTCAAACTGCATTATTTTTGCTGTGCTGATGAGATCTCAGTCATCATCCTTACTTAACAAGACTGAAAGGTACCTTGTTTTCCTCTATGACCTTTCTTGTTATTTCTGTCTGCTCTGTGGGATGTTTGTTTTTTGTGCTGTGTGAACCATACATATCCTGTCCTGCTGTTTTATAGATCTTTATCTTTTACTACAGGGGTAGGCAACCTTTCCCCTTTAAGGGCCGAGGGACTTCAGGTCCCAGAATCCCAGGAGCTATTGGCCAACATGGGACTATTGGCCAACATGGCTGAGGCTTCTGGGAGCTGAAGTCCCTCGGCCCTTAAAGGGGAAAGATTGCCTACCCCTGTTTTACTAGGACAAGACAACAGCTTTTGTATTTGGGAAGCTTTAAAAAATTAGAGGTGATTATCCTGGAGCTGATTCAATTGACAGCCTGAATTTGTAAGAGCTTTAGTTCGTAGTTGAAGGCTGGGAGAGGAAAGCAAGTAAAGGACTCCTTGCCAAACTAGAAAGAGGGAACAAGAAAGCAGTGTTAATGCTTGACCAGTGAGCTGAAATGTATGAGAAAATTTACATGACCAAATGCTGATCAAAAGTGAGATATTATGTGCACATTATAACTGACCTCACCTTATTTTATTTTTGAAACACTTAAAATTAATAGGGCTATGTAATAAATTTAAAAGATAACCTCCTGTCCACTAGATTCTTAATATAAGAGTTCTGGGCCTTACCCAACTTTGTGCTTTTCATATGTTCAACTTCAGCTCTCATGGCCATGCCATGGCTGATACTGCAGTCTAACAACCTGAGGGCACCAGCTTAGAGAAGGCTGCCTCTCCTTCATTATCTAATCAGAGATAGGACAACGGATCAACAAAAGTCATAAAATGTGCTGGAATAACAGGAAAAAGCAAAGTTTGGCTAACATGTATCTATGTGCAATAGACTGGCTGGTAAACAATATCTAATCTTGACTGGTAAAAAATGTAAGAACCATGCTCAGTCAGATTCAAGGTCTATTTATTGCAGTATTTTGTATCCATAGTGAATAGCCAATTACTGTGAGAGTGACTGAGAGACCACCCTGAAAAGCTTTATAGGATTAAGAATTTGTGTTTGACTTGCTGATCTGAGTAAATAGAAGAGTCTTCATGTCTGATGTATAAGTATAATGCCAGGGTAACTTTCATTTCGATTGCGTGACAGAGGGGCGGGATATAAATAATAATAATAATAATAATAATAATAATTCATGAAGTGTGCCCCTCCCTTTAAGCATGTTTTCTACAGAAAGTTTTAGCAGCATTAATTCTTCTTGATAACAGTCTTCAGGATTTATGAGTACTATAAGCCATCCTCTGAGTGTGGACAGGACAGTTCATAAAAGTACATGTGGTATTTTTGATTGTTAAAAATCAACAGTAAACCTGTTACTGATAAATTGAAATAGAAAAGGTTGCTTTGATTCTTTGCAGGTGATTCTGTTAGACAGGATAACTACAAATCAGGCACTCCTGTCTATCAACCAGAAGTGATGCATGATGCTGTGTATGAAGAACCCCCTAGCCAACGAGTTATTTATGATGAGCCTCCTGAGGTCAGTCTCTTTAGATGATTCTTGAAGAATGAAAGATAGGTGTGTGTGAGTAAAATGGAGTTGTATGTTCACATCACAATCCCTTAAGCTGTTTTACATTTTCCTTATGGATGATGGACATTAGATCTAGAGCAGGGGTAGGCAACCTAAGATGCGGCCCCC